GCTCATGTGGGGCCTTCAAATGAATTTAATAAGACTTGTGTTACCACTGATAATATGGGCTTATAAAATCATCGGAGACCTGATTTTACTAGGTTTTAAGTAGATACAAAGTGATAAATATAATGTGTGAATACCGTCAATCTGTCTATAAGTAAAGTCTTTCCATACCCATATTTCATTCATTTGTCAGTGGAAAATGGTTAGATCATCTCCAAAAAGTTAAGCAACCAGATTTCAACACCTCGTTAAACGTAAAGGTTTAGGCTGCCAATTTGTACAATTCCTTTGAATTTACACCAGGAGGCTTTTTTATGGATAATTCTTCCTCTTTTAAGTACTGTTAATTGCTAAATGTTCGTACTATTACATTTTAATTTACAAACTTCTTAAAACGCTTATGTCCACTATTTGATTTGAAAATTAGTGACAACCAACTGATTCTTTGGCCGAAATTCGAACTTAAGTCAAATTGTGCAAAACGATTCATTGCAGAAATTGCATCCGAACTAAACACTTTTAGGAGGATAAACATGGGCGGTATATTTGTTTGAAAATAAATTTTAATCCATTCCTCTAATCCAACGAGGTTTCAAACGGTTGATTTTAAATTCGAATGATTTCAAATCCTGGATTAATGGGTGAACAAAAAATTATAATCGGTTTAGTTTAGACAAACAGCACAATTTCAAGGATAATAGGTAGTTGGAAGTAATATTATTTTTAGTCTGTTTGTTGTGCTTATTATAAAATATAAACAAATTATATTATTTATAAACATGTTCTCTCTACATCATTGAGAATAAATGGATCATTACGTAAAAGTTAATTCTATTTATGTATTTATTAAAAGTTTATAGTAAATTTTAGTAGTAAAATTGTCTTTGTATTACATTATTTGTACACATTTTTTGTTTTATGTAGCCAGTATTCAAAGGAAAGAGGAAACTATCCCGAACAAGAGGATGGAGCGCATCCAGCTGAATCGATTGATATCACGAAACAAGATACTTTTTGAAGTTATTGTTTTTTTATGACTGACAAGATAAAGAGACTCTTGTGAATAACATTCGCCCTAGCTGGATTTAACAGTTGTAATTCTTTTAAGAATCCGAACAATTTTGACTTACAGGCTTTTACCAAATATGTGCTAGTCAATTCTAGAGCGAGAGTGATGACTGAGCAGTTTGATCAGAGCTGGTTTTCACTTGATTTGAGTCAAGACCATGGAAAAATTAGTAAAAAACAATTCGCAATTTTCAGTGGTGGGCTTGATTTATGCCAAAATAATCCTTAACAAGATAGGCAAATTCACTGCTGTAATTGGATAAGGCCAAACTCAGAGAGGTGATAGGACTACAATTAATCACGCATCTGAGCAAACATCTACACAACACGGGCAAATTCAACGATGATACTATTTGCAGGCTATGCAAAGAGGTGGAAGAAACGGCCTCCCATACCATCTTCGAAGGCGAAGCGACTGCTTAATAGAGACATAACCTAAGAAACAAAAAATGAAATTGTAGCAGCGACAGTCAATGACTAATATTTCTGAGAAGGATAGAGTCAACTGCACCAAACTAGCGAACCAGGAAGGTACAGTAAACCAGAAGGCGGCAGTGCTTTGGGAGCACAAAGCCCACTTCCTAAAAATGATCATCATCACCACTGAAAAGGCTAAATTTCTCTCGGCTAAATTATCTGCGTTCTTCTCAGACAAGTTTCTGCATTTAGCCTTCTTCAGGGGTTTGTGCTTTATTAACCAAATAAACAAAAACTATTTCTCCTTTATGTTTCTATACTCCGGAGATTTTGGATGAGTGTTTGATTACATATTGCTTTCTTGTGATTTATGTTACATTTTTCAATGCATTTATTTTGTTTTCCTTATTATTATTTATTGCCAGCTTCTTTCATTGTCACACTTTTTGCCAGTTTTTTCTTGGATTTTTCTTATTTTATTGGCTTCGTTTAACGAACAGATTTTTGTCCAGTATTTTTTAAACATTTCTCCATTTACTACAATTCATTGAGTATTTGTGTTTTTATTTCTTGTAATTTTGGTCTCATTTTTTTCTACATCACTTAATATAATGATTTTGGTTTATAGCCCGTTATTTTATTTAGCTTATTATTACTATTATTATTTTTCGTTACCGTTTTATATATACATTATTTTACAATGAATCTTGTTTTATCTAGTTGTTTGATGGGTTTTAAACTTCAAATGCTTTTTTATAGCCCTTTATTTTATTTACCTGAAATATAATAATTATATTTTTTTCTGCCAACTTCTTTTTACTTGTCCAACATTTTTCTTATTTTGTCGGGTTTTTTTTATTTAATTTATTTTTCTTATTTTTTGGGATACTTTTTTCTTATTGCCTTTTTGTAATGGACCTTACTGTTTTGTATGTGTGTTGTTGTATTAAATTATTGTTGATTTAATTGTATTGAGACCTTTAGAAAAAAAGCCAAAATCTTTTTACAAACTGAAAAGGCATTTGATCGATGGTTTTACGATAGCCTGCTTGTTAAAATTATAGGTTTTCCTAACACTTTATATACTTTATATCCTACTTTATAACACGTTAAACCTACTCAAATGACCAGTCGTTCATGGTTACTCACAATGGCGACTTGTCCTAAATTGCTTTATTACTTTATATTTTACATGTTTAATTAACTCTTTTCGAGTTGGCCCGAGGGGATTTTATAACGTTATTGAACAAGTATTAGCATTTTAAAGTTGAAAAAGTGTTTACTTTTAATTAGGCGGCAGCTCTAATGAGCCGCCTTAACATTTCAATCTTATCTACATGTTGGCAAAGGAGAAAAGTACCTCGAGCCAGTTTTGAAAAGGGTAAATCCGGCACGTGGTAGAGAATTCGTCCCTCGTGAGAAAAGCGCCAACGGATACTCCTTTCATGCTGGTGGGACATCCCGCTCCCGTAATCGATAGCAGGACTCCGGCCGATAACCCGGCCTCGGCCCTCTTTCCCGCACGGCCTCGCCTTGTCGGGCCTTGTCCTTTGGTACGCTGAAAACGTTAATTTCGGGACATCGGCCAACTCTGTGGATGGGGGTTCGAGTGTTCAAACGGTTAAAACGAATAAGCCGTTTATTGAAACATTTTTCCATGTTTTGTAAGTTCCTTTAAGTTCAACAAGAAACATTGGGTATATGAGTTTTCGCATTCTAAGTTCTTTTGTACTTAAACAGTGCGATTTTTTTGTTGCGGTCAGGGGTGAACTAGTTTGGCCGTTTCCGATTTTCATACGCTGCTTATCCTCTCGCTTGGACTGTGCGTTATTTTGAGTAAATTAATAAGTATCACTGATGATGACAAAATGTTGAAATGTATCTGGCAGCTCAACCTGTTTAGGTGGAGGTCGATAAGAATACTACAGGTTCATCACCTCAAAACCTAAACCAAAGAATTGAGGTTTGAAGTTAGTAGGGCGATCTGTCTAATTGAGATAGAAAATAAACCAAACCAGCTACGTAAATTGCCAAATGTTGAAACGCGTCCACAGTCTAAACCGAATGTAAGTGGAACATATCGATTGGAGAAGACTGCATGTTTATAATCTCGCAGTCATCAACAAAAAAATCTTACAATATTGAGTTGTATTCTTTAATCCTATATTATCATCCTGGCTTATGATGGTGCTTCCAAATAACCCATATAAATCAATGCAAGCGGCGAAATGGAGATGTACAAACTAAATGTTTATTAACTCTCGGATTGATACTAGACAACTATTTTAAGATAGCAAAATAGATCAAACAAGCGAGTACAGGCGGACCATGTTTATTCGAGAAAACCAAATTACAGGTTCATCGCCTGAAAGGTCTTAACAAATCATCTAATATCTTTGTGTGCCTATTCTTTCTACTTTTGTCTATCCAGCAACTTTCTGCATTTAGCCATCTTGTGTTGTTTTTTTTTGCCTAACCTTTCGGCATTAGCTATATACCATAGCCATCTTTAGTGGTTGGTATTTACGATACGGCCAAATATCTAAACCTGACACCTGACCTGGAAAAACTGGCGGAATAGATAAAAAAATATAAAACCAATAAAAGCAATGCCATTCGGTTTTGTTTAAATACTATACGTACTAAAATAAATCATCGATTAGAATAGATAAAAGGTAATGTATAAAAAAACACACACCCATAAGTACAAAAGATCAAACAAACAGCAGACACAAAATATGATCTATAATAAAGCTAATAAAATAAAAGAGAAAAGAGACCAGATAACAGCCATTAAAAACAGATAAAACAGAGAGAGGTCCGTTAAAATCACGCGATAAGATAAACAAAGCATGTGGACGTCGCTCACGAATAAAATATATCATCAATTTAAGAGAAAAGAAAACAGTCGATAAGCACAAGAAACGTTAGTTAGACGCATCAATACAAGTAGAAATTAAAAAAAAGTTTAATAAATGATCCAATGAAATAAGCCACAAGAAAAACATACGGCAGGTTAAAAAACCCCATAAAATAAATTAAATTTCATTAAAACCTCGTAGCGAAGAGAAAATGTAGGACCCATTAAACGCACGCCATAAAAAAACCATGTCGACATCGCATGAATAAAAAATACCGTGGGGATGGGGGAAAAACGATGAGTTAAAAAAGTCCGTAAAATATGTAAGATTCATCAAAGGATCCAATAATAAACAGCCGATAAAATACTATTAGACAGGGGTCACCAAAAAATATGTGGGTCAATGCGATTGGAAACGGAACAAAAAATTGTGTTCCAAACAACTCATCAAATAAAGTTAAACGCATTAAAACATCACAAAAGGCGATAAATAAATGATTTGCACAAAATGTATTTTCATTTTTGTAAAAAGAAACCAAAATGGTCAATCTATAAAATTTTTGAAAATTAAGTATAGGCACGAAAACGTTTAAATTGACGACCAGAACTTTAAAACTTGTTATAATTAATTAGATCTATAATTTGACTATAAGCTTACCTGGACAATAAGATTGAAATCAGCAGATGTCATTTTGTATAAATGCTGTCATCTCCTGAAACAAAGAAGAAATAATTTTAAAAAATCAATCAATCGAAATAATTGATAAATAAAAGATTAATAATTATTCGGAGATGGTGAGATGCTGTCTGGTGTGAGGTAGATTTTAGAAAAACATTTTCTTCATCGTGCCAACGTTTCGATCTTTATTGAGATCATCTTCAGGACCTGGGATTTATAAACGTTTCCTGCGTAATTGTGTCATTCTTGTGTGTGGTGTTGAGAATGACGCAATTACGCAGAAAACAAACACTTTAAGCCCCGAAGATGATTTCAATGAAGATCGAAACGTAGCACGATAAAGAAAATGTTTTTCTGAAACCTACGTCACACCAGACCGCATCTCATGATCTCCGAATGATAATACCATACCCATAATGAAATAAAACTAACGTTAATTACACATTAATTAGGTAAATTTCAAAAGTGTAGGACTAAAACATAGCTAGGTGCATAATGGAATCAAACAGAAAATACAATGAAGCCCTGTTGATTCCTTCGTTTTGTGACGATTGTGTTTTGGAAGTACAGTTAATAGTTTTCAATATATGGCTTATGTATTTTGGTTCGGATAATTTTACGCGGTTTTTTTGTCCAGGAAAATATCGAAAGTAGGCCAATGTTTCGAAAAAGTATAGTGTAAAGAACCGATAAAATTGCCTTTTAAAAAATTCAAATCTAGAAGATACTTGAACGTTCAAAACATCGGTTTATCTTTATATGGATTATATTTGACAGGATTAAAATCAATTGTTAAAAGGACCTGGTCATTCCTTTCCAGTGTCTATAAACGGTTTTCACGTATAGGAAGTTGGATTGAGATCGAAGTTGTGTCCCTTTTTCCAGGGCTCAACTACGAAGTTCCTCGAGCTAAAGTTAGAAAGAGGCCAGTCATTCACACGGGAGCCTACGTCGAGGTTGGTAAACACAAGGGGGGAAAACATTTCGCGAGAGAAAATAGTAAACAGAAGTTTTGTTTTCATCTTTTTCGGGGTGTTTTTTTCTTTTATTTCATTTGTGATTAATGATATATGGTTGATACTAATCAGACTGATGTGCTTTTTACTTGTTTTATTTGACCGATCGATTTAGGGGCATCCGCCTCCCCTCATCAGTCTTGAGTTTCTAAAATGTACGAGTTTACATATTATCTTTTTACAGTTAAATGCCTATAAAACATAATTAAATATTATTATGAATTGCAACGTAAATATACAACAAGATGATAACAAACTATATAAAAAATACAAAAATATTTCATATATGTATTGGGCTGGTGCAAAAATAAGGGTTTGAAAAGGATGTCAAAACTATTTTTAATTTTTATAAAATAAAGAAAATTTATTCAAAATATTTTCAATCACAATCCATACATCATTGCTAACGTGTAATAAGCGCTTTTATTTCTCTTACATAAAAATCTTTATTTGGGCTAACAACAATGTTTTCGGCATTCGGCGTTCTCTAAAACTTTTATTCTTCAAGAAGTGATAAACATGCCTAAAAAAGTGGAAGTATGTAAACGACAGGTCAGGTGAAAATGGAGGGTGCGGTAAAGGTTCATATTCTTAAGTTTCCGCAGGGTTGCCATCGCGACATGTGTGGCCTGGCGTTATCGAGAAGAACCGGCCCAATGCTGGACGATGACGTTGCATTTTTTGCATGTTTTCAATTTCTTGGCAATATTTCTCTGCTGTGATAGTCTCACCATAATTCAGGAAATTATAGTGAACAATCCCAGCAGTACACTACCAAAGGTCACTACACTTTTTGGGTGCAGATTTGGTTTCGGAAAGTGTTTTGGTGTTTCATCCTTGTCCATGCTGACCTGTACGCCTGCCATCGTACACAATCCATTTCTCATCGCACGTTGTGATTCGATCGAATGAAGAAATGGATCAGTTTGGTAGCGCGACAAAAGAGACGTGCTAATTTCAAAGTCAGCTTGGGCTTCAGTCAGTTCGTGCGGTACCCACTTGTCGAGCTTCTTTACTTGACCATTACTTTATCAATTTGCTCCAGATGGCAAACAACGGTTGAATGGTCATCTCTAAGCTCTTCCGCATTTTCCCGAGTTGTCTTACGTGAATTTTCTCCAATCAACGTTTTCAGTTGGTCGTCGTCCACAACGGAAGCGTACCGCGACCTTTCCTGCCTTCGAGATCGAAATCTCTAAAACCCTCGCTGCACCGTGAATTCGGTAATGCTTCCCTCCCCCGAAACTGTATTGATGTTACACGCGGTTTGGGCCACACTTCGCCCAAGTTTAAATTCGTACAAACAAATTAGTCGAAAATCTAGTTTGAACATATTTAATTACGCAGGTCCTCACTCTTATAAAATTCAATATAAACTAAAAGTTTTTCAATGTCGTGTAATCTATTCCATTCTCGGCGGCAAATGAAATGGCCACGGTGAGCTTTAGTGAAGATATACTTCATTTTACTTATTAAATCCATTACATTTTCAATTAATTAATTAATTAATCTTTATGTGAGGTTGAAAATAATTGATAGATTAAACGACATCTGAAAAATGGCAAAAAGGAGGGAAAATTCAAAAAGTGGGTTGAGATGGGAAGTTGGTGTCCGAGTTGGTCACGATAGGTCAAGTGGTAGAGCAGCGGCGTATTTAGCCAAAGGTCGTGGGTTCGAATCCCGTTCGTGACATTGACTTTTTACCTCAACCAACGCCTTATATAAAGATTAATTAATTGAAAGAAGTTATTTGGTCAATCGGACCACGAAATCTAATGGACTTAATTAACTAAAATGTTTTGTATAAACGTTAATAATAAACAGTTCAAAATATTTATTACAATCCATAAATTAGATTTGAGGATTTAGCTTTGTTTACATGACAAGCACCTGCGTAAATAATACAAATTTTTGAAACCTGCTTTAACTCAATATAAAAATAATGTAAAATGTAATAAATAAAAATGTAAAAAAAAATAAAACTTATTGCTTTAAAATAATTAATACATAAAACAAATGGTAAATTAAATATAAAATACAAGCCAAAAAAATTAATAAAATTACAAACACATCATAGCTGCAAATAATACCACACATTGGATAAGTGTAATTTAAGGGGGAACACTTTCTGTGTTTCCGGATCAGCAACGAGGGGGGTGACCAAGAATTTCTTAACATAATGTAATTATATAAATACTCAATTAATTATACACAATTTTTTTCGAAGTAAAAAATTTGTGTCACAGGCAGCATTCGAACCCACACAGGGGGGCTCAATATGCCGCTGCACTACCACTTGAGCTACCGTGACTTCGATCGCCCATGCAACAAACTTCTCATTTCGACTACCCGATTTTATTCTAATTGTAAGCAAATCGCGGCTTCATATAGAAACACTTTTTATTAAAGATTGTACTAGATTACCAGGACTGTGTACGATTCACAGGTGTGATTCTAGATTAATACTACATTTTATCAGCTTCTATTAAATATACAAATACTCAATTAATTATACACAATTTTTTTCGAAATGAAAAATTTGTGTCGCAGGCGGGATTCGAACCCACGACTTTCGGCTCAATACGCCCCTGCTCTACCACTTGAGCTACCGTGACTTCGATCGCCCATGCCACTTCGAATCCCGTCTGACACAAATTTTTCATTTCGAAAAAATTGTGTATAATTAATTGAGTATTTATATAGTCAATAGAAGCTGATAAAATGTAGTAATAATTTAATTATATGTGTGGTGATTAGTGACCGTTAATCGATATTTATTTAGAAATCGTGAAATGCGGTCTGGTGTGATGTAGGTTTCAGAAAAACATTTGCTTTATCGTGCCAACGTTTCGATCTTTATTGAGATCATCTTCAGGGCCTGGGATTTACAAACATTGTTTACATATAACAATTACATTTTGGATGTGGAAAAGTGAATTTATACAATGCAAAATATATTTTTTATATATATTCAATCAAAGTGAGTAGAAATGCTTTGATTGAATATATATAAAAAATATATTTTGCATTGTATAAATTCACTTTTCCACATTCAAAATGTAATTGTTATATGTAAACAATGTTTGTAAATCCCAGGCCCTGAAGATGATCTCAATAAAGATCGAAACGTTGACAAGATAAAGAAAATGTTTTTCTGAAACCTACATCACACCAGACCGCATCTCTCGATTTCTAAATAAAAAATTTAATTATATTTTATACACATTTAACTGTAACAATGTTTAGTAAAATAATATGTAAACCTGTACATTTCAGAAACTCGGGACTGATAAGGGGCGGCGAATGCCTCCGAAATCGATCTCTTAAATAAAACAAATAAAAAAGCACATGGGATTGATTAGTTCGAACTTATTCCAAACGAAATAAGTGAACAGAAGTCAACAAATAAAATTAGCGACTAGACACGTGAGAGAGAGCCGAATTACGAACATATTACGTCATGCTCTCTTATAAATCGAAGAACGTTTATTTGAATTTTAATCAGCTGATAATCTTGTGGACCGACTTCGCTGTCTGGTTGTCAATTTCGTTTTACAATAGTTACTTGTAAACAGTACGGGCGATATGCGTTGTCACGAGGGGACTCGGCGGCGGTTTTATCGATTCAAAGCGACGCATATAGTTGGAATTTCATACAAGCTGTTTGGCCCTTTTTCCCTTTGACTTTAATCTCCGTTTTAGGATTTTAATCAAAATCTTGAGATTATCAAGGTTCCGATTATTCTTATTAAACTAGATTCTATCGTTCATCGACTGAGGGAGGTCAAATATCGTTATCGATTGATCGCAATGCTCTCTCGAGAATATATCATTTGACATATTAAAAACATTGTTTAACATTTATCCCATATAAAGTGAACTTTCAATACCAGCGGAATTTCTTCAGAGCATCATGAAAATACCTGGCGTCGTGGTCTTTTGCCAAGATTCTACAGGCATTATTGCCTTGTTTCCTCAAGGCCGGTGACAATACGGAATCAAGACGGTATAATCAAAT